CCTGTTATGTGCCCACTTTTATCCTGAAGCTTGCCCTAGTATAAGTAATGTTTTCCTTAAGAAATGGCTTGATAATATCTTGGAACAGATGGCAATCATGGAGGTACAAAGAGTTTGTTTACCACATGCCTCAAACTGTTACAACACATGATATGACACATTTTAGTTTCTCAGCACAGAAAGCAAAAGTATATGGGGCATCTTCTAAGGGAAACAAATGTGAACCCCCCCAAAATGGCTTAAAATCTTTATCTTATATTGGGACTTATATCTAGGGGAAGAAAACAGTTTATAAAGATAAAAGGAAGTTTCTTGTAAAAGCCCTCTGTTTGCAGATTGGTTGAGTTGCCTTGATCCCTTTCACTGCCCTTTAACAAAAGAACAAAAAACAATTGACACAGCACTAGGTGAAGGTGACGGTAATTAATGCATGATTTGATTATAAGATGTAGCAAAGAATCTGTTATATGCTTTTATAAAATCCTTTCATTTATGATCTTTTAATTCTGTACTCTTAATATTTTAAGCAATATTAGTTTGTGTTTAGTAAAAATTGATTTTGAGTATAAGTAAACCACTTGTTGCTATGTAACCTCATGTACTGCCATCCGTGGAGTTCCTGGCTTCAGCCAGGTGACTGCAGGTTTCAATGAGTAATGGTTTGTTGAAAATGTTTTCTTTAGGGTTGTTTTTTGTATTCTCTTAACCATGAAGTACAAATGAAACAATTGGATATTGTGCAAAAGCTTGTGATGATTTGTGTATAAATAAAGAAGGCAACTTTTCTGAGTTGTCCATTATGAGCATCATGCCATAGTGGTCCGTGTCTTATCTCTTCTTCATATCATCTCGCTGATCCACGCATCCTTTGCAAGCTCTTGAGTCAGGCGGAGCTGGTCTCCGGCAGGCTATTGATGTTGCCCAGCTCCAGAAGGCATGTTTTCTGTGTGCATAGCATTCCAGATTTGTGTAGGGCAGGACACTGCAATGTACTGCTTTTAAAAGATACAAGCTAGGGTCAGTACAGTAACATGACGTTCTAATCCTCTACCTATGTCACTGGCATCTCACATCCACACCAGATCTTGTCCCCGCTGCTCAACTTCTGGTCCAGCTCCCTGGTTATGGCCTTGACATCTGCAGAAGAAAAACCAGGTGCTTGGGCTCCTGCACTCACATGGGGGATGCTGAAGAAGCACCTGGCTCCTTGGAACAAGCTTTGACTCTTGTAGCCATTTGGGGAGTGAGCCTGAAGATGGAAAACCTCTCTCTTTCTCTCTCTTCTTCTCTGTTTAAAAAATCCAAGCTGCATGTTAGTCTGTAGAAATGAATGTTATTGAAACAAAAAGATAAATTACATAATTATTATGAAACATTTATAAAGCAAAGAGGTTTTACTGTTTAGTGTCTCTACAAGAAACATTACTAGATTGATGAAAAATAGACCCATTTTAACCAAATCTTGCTTTAGTAGTATACTATTTTTTTTTTTTTTTGCTATTAAATACCTCATTGTGGAAAGTTTTGAGAAGTTTTTGACTTTAGTGTTTTCAACTTCTACAAAATCAAGGGAAAATTAAAATATTTGGTCATTATTTAGTTAATTATTATTTCAGGTGAGTGACCAGTTTTTAAATTAATCTTGATAATACTCACAGGTCCACATAAAGTAAAGGTCTCATAATTTTTCTCATATCATAAATAAATTTTATCTGATAATTGTAAGTTAAATAAGGAATATTTTTAAAGTAGCATTTTGTGAATTGTAAAAGAAAGGACCAATATTGGTTCTAAATGAACTATATTTTAGCTAAATTTAATACATATGTGTTATTAGTAAGCTATAATTCTTGAAATCACTCACTCAAAATCCTTAATTTGGATTTCTAGGCCTGCGTGTTCTCTAGATTCATTCTGGACCAAAACTCCCCTCACGTCTTTTCTCAAGCTGCTCACACCCCTGCTCCACTTCCCAATACCAACCATTTAATCTAATAATGAAAGTTTCTTGAAAATGAGTTTAGACTTCATCTCGAAATGTTAATCTGAACTTGACACTCCCTCCCCTGGAGCTGTTACTAGTAGGTACTTCATTGCCATGGGCATCCCCTCAGGATAACAACTACCACAATGCTTCATGCTATGCCTGCCTCCATAAGACAGAGAACAGGGATGCTGTTTTCGTCATTCCTGTACATACTGTCTATCATGATCATGGAATAATGTGTCCTGGTGGTTAATCAAGCACTAAAATATTAAAGTCACTTGTTAGCCACAGCAGTAACAGCCCACAATGAGCTCTAAGAATTGCTTATTGAATGAATAAATATGTTCTTACTACTCATAATGGCTGGTGAAACAATTGTGTTCCATTGCTTATTTGATTTAATAGAATATATTTTAATCGTACACAGAATAGTTTTTCAACTTGAATATTTTAATGAGTGTATATTTGAAATATTCTTATTCTTAAAATGATCATTATTTATTATTTGGTTTAAAAATTTGGGTTTAGATGAATATTAGGACTATAGAAAATAAAACTTTATTGGTAAAATGAAAGTAATCCTTTAAATTTCTTATAAGCTGATACATTTCCATCTCAGATTATATGAGACTACTATGAGAAGTGTTCAATAGTGATAGGTTTTGAAACTTTTTTTTTTTAAAGAAAAGTGGATCATTTTAGGACAAGTCAGGATAATTTAGAGCTTATGTTTTTTTTACATGTTGAAACAAATTAAGAGATAATTGACAATGTATACTGGCATATCAATCAAATCTTGATCAGTTTTTCAGAAATGTTATCACCAAAAGAAAAAAATCAGTGTCACTGAATATTCTGAAACAGAAACAAACCAGAATGAATTTCAATAATTTTTGGAAAGATAAATACTTAACACTGTAGATGTCAAAACATTTTATATTTAAATTGTGAGTAATTATGTATAACAGGTGACATAAAAATATGTTTATCTGCATTAAAAGTTGTTAATAATAATGGTTTTAAAATCTTTAATAGGTGATATGTGTAAACTATATTACCTTAGGTTATCAACACTATATTAATACATTTTCCCCCCACATTTCTTTTTATTTCTTTTTTCTTAAATTACTTCTTATTATTGTTTTATGATATAGTTTCATAGGTTCTGGGATTTCCAGTTCCCTTCCACAAATTCCCCTCTCTATTGTGTAATGTGCAAAGATTTGCTCCCACTCTGTTGGTTGCTTTTTGATTTTGCTGATTGTTTACTTTGCTGTGCAGAAATTTCTTGATGTAGTTCCATTTGTTTATTTTGGTCTTGACTATCTTTGCATTTGATGAATTTTCTAGAAAATCTTTGCTGCACCTATATCTTGTATGTTCTACATTTTGCTCTAATAGTTTGATGGTTTCTTGGTGTAGGTTAGGATCCTTTACCCGTTTAGATTTGATCTTTGTGTGTGACGAAATGTGGGGATCTTGTTTCCTAGGTCTGCAGTCTGCTATCCAATTGTCACAACAACATTTATCGAAGGGACATTTTTTCTTTCCTGGTTTGCTCTCTGTTCTTTGGTCAAAGATTAGATGGCTGTACATATATGGGCTCCCTTCTGATCTTTCTATTCTGCTTCATTCATCTTCCTCTCTGTTCCTGTATCAGTGCCATGCTACTTTGCTTGCTACCACCCTATAATATGTCCAAAGGTCTGGGATGGTGATCCCTCCAGCTAAGTTCTTATTCTTCAGGATAGTTCTGGTTATTTGTGGTCTTTTGTGCTTCCAGATGAACCATTGTATCATTTTCCCCAGCTCTGTGAAGAATGTGGTTGGTATTTCGATTGGAATTGCAGTGAATTTGTATATTGGTGACAGTTTCTCTGTTTCAGGACCTGAAAAATATTACTCCATTCTCTTCTTGCTTGAAGGGCCATGTGGAGAGGAACAAAAATGAGGCACACATACAGAGCAAAGGATTATGAAAGAAGGAAAGCATATCATCATAGCTTACTGGGTGTTTTGTTGCTGTTTTACAATAACTAGAGAATGTGGTGGGACTCCTGATATGGGAAGTATGGGTGATGGATTCAAGAAGATCTTGGCCTTGCAAAGTTTGGACTGTGTACAGCTCCTTCCATCTTTCTGCTGTAATCTTCTCTCTGGATGTCTGGGTCAAATGAAATACAGTCCTCAGGGAACCAGCTCAAGCTGGTGTTCCCCTGTTGCAGCAGCCCAGAGAAGAAAGATAAATGCAACTTTCCTGGACGCTCTAAACCCAGGCAGGCACACTGTCTTAATTCTTGGGATGAGAGCCAAAGGACCTATTTTTTAGGGTCTGTGCTTCCATGCAGTGAGCAATCATTGGTTGCTTACATGGCATCTTACCCTTATTATTTTTTTTTAATCTTCTGGATGTAATAAGTTATTTTATGCAGATATCCTCTTGGGAGGCCTTACAGAGACCCATACAGATTAAGTGTGAACTAAATTGTGAAAAGAGATTAGTGAGGAACTGCCTGGTGATAAATGTGACTTTGACAACCTTAGAGAAGTTGAAGGTGTAGGCAGAAGGAGGAGCACCAGCAAAGGGACAGAAATAGGGAAGTATGGAGGCATATTGAGGGATGAAAAGCCAATAATGTTATGTCATAGACTGCATTTACTAAACACTATTCAGAATCAACTTTAGTCCTTACAACAGCCTTAAGATAAGAAAAAAATTGTTTCAATGTATATATTACCAGTACTCTAATTGTAAATAAAACATGGAGCAAGACTAAGGGAGGGAAGAAGATAAGAAATTTGAGCCTAGACAGGTTCAAAAACTTGCCCAAGCACAGTAACTCAGAGAAGGGGACAGAGGTTCCCTGGGATCTGTGGGCTGCTGAGCCCAGCTCTTCATTGCCTGGCTGTCCGCAGAGGGGTGCTGTTCATGATCCAGGCCCTTGGTTTCTTCCATTGTCTCTTCGCTGTTGGAAGCTCTCTATAGCCTAGGTCAATTTTTTGTGACTTTCAGGTACACTAAAATTTTAAATGAACCTTCTGCAGATTGGAGATTGTTCAGCAAAAAGAAGAAGAAATTTTTTTTTTTTGTCTTGAGAGATTTGCAAAGAGACAAATTGGGAAAGACATGGATCTGAAACTGGAAATCATAATATATGGACACCAAATATCTATGAATATATGAATACCATCCAAAAAATATCCTTAAGTATGAGACTTCAAATGCTTCCCATTTTTATTCTAATTTTCTCTTAGAGATATTCTAACTAGACGTGAGAACTTCCTTTGTGTCAGGCAAAGTTCTCGACTATATATGAAATAGCATATTTAATGTTCATCATGGCCCTGTGCGATAGATACTGTCAATACTCTCATTATCCTCACTGTGAAAATTAAAGGAGGAACTGGAGAAGGCCAAATTAGTCACCATTCTATGACTCTGAATCAGGTAGATCCTCTACTCTTAATGAGGTCTTCAAAATATAGCTGTTCAATGATTCTTTTTAACTAAATGATAATTCACTTTCTCAGGAAATACATATATTTAGAGATTTATTTATTGGAAAAGCAGAGTTACAACAGCTGGCAATCTGAGGTCAGAAGCTTAGAAATTCATCTACTGCTTTTCCAGGTGCCTTAACAGGAGCTAGATCAGAAGCAGACTAGCTGAGCTGGGCTTCAGCTGGCACAATAATGGATGCCAACATTGTAGTGGTGGCTTTACCACCTGTGCCGCAATGTCAGCCCCAGGAAATGAATTGTTCCTGGCACCCACTATCCGAGTGACTGGAGACTGCTGAGCAGGCTTACTTCAGCTGAGTGAAAAGACTTTGGTGCCCCATTACTTTCTCCTGGTTATGAAATTTGAGGTATCAGCCTGCAAAATAACAATAATTATCTGCCTCAATGGATACCTGAGATTCTTTGAACTGTAAATAAGCTTGAACTAGATTGTCAGAATTCCAATGTGGCTCTTGTTGTAAATCAACCTATTAATGATCATCATTGAGGACAGTATGTGGGGATGCAGAGTCTTATTCCTGGGGTCTTCTGGATCTTATTGTGAGCACTAATGCTGGCTCTATTAAGTTTTTTGTTGTTGTCGTGTATTTGTTTTTAATGTGTTTGTTGCTACTGCTGTACTTATTCACTATGCTTTCTTCAGACACAATGTAAAATAGACTTGAACTAAAACAGAAAGCAAAAGCGTGCATTTAACTTTGAGTTAAGCCCAGATGAGGTTACCAGGGTGCATAGACTGTAAGTGTAAAGGGGAATCAAACGGAGCCAGGAGTGATGGCTTATGTGCTAGGATTTAACCTGATTCTGTTGAGCAGCCGACAAGCAGACTGAAGCATGAGTAGTTACAGAATTTAGTGTGTCCATAAACAAAAGGAAGCCTACTGTTCAGTAAGCAGAAATTTTTGAGAATGTTTTCCTGAGTCCCCAGAGTATGCTGACAATGATGAATGTGTAACATCAGAAAAGGCAGCACTGAGACTAGCTCCTTACCTTGCCGGTTAAGACAGGCACAGCCCACCTGGAGCACCTCTTGGATCCCTGGCTTCGTCTCCAGATTCCAGCTTCCTGCCATGTGTGTCTGGGAGGCCACTGTGATAGTTCAAGGACATCTGGCTCCTGCCACCAGTTTGGCAGATCTACAGGACTTCCTACAGGACAAAGGCAGCTTTGTCCTATCCCAACTTTTACCAGTATGAACAGCTGGGCAGTAAGTCTACAAATAAGAATGCTTCTCTATTGCTCGCTGCCTTTCAAGTAAAATAGAATGAAGGAACGTTGAATCTCTCTTCTCCAAATGTCACCATTTTCTCTCATCTTTAAAGAAATGTGATTTCTTTAAGAAACATACATAAACAAAACAGAGGAATCATGAATAACCTCATCATCTAGAAATTTCCACATGGACATTTTGATGTATATAATAAATTTTGTGTATACCAGAGGTCACTAAACTTTTTCTGGGAAAGATTAGATAGTAGTTATATTAGCATGTGTGAGCCATATGGTCTCTATGAAAGCACCCACTCTGCTACGGTAGAATGAACATAACTATAGAGCATGTCAATGAATGGGTGTAGCTGTGTCCCAATAAAATGTTTATAGGCACTGGAATATCCTCTCCCCCTTCTTAAATTCCCTCCCCTCCCCACCGTTCTCTGCTTCAGTTTTACAATGAGTGTCTTTCATGAACTTTCACAAAGGCCATCATCCTGCCACTGTGGTGTCTTCCAACATTGTGGGCATGGACAATGTCGGAGAGTCCAACATCCAACTGTCAGGACATTATCAGTCATTTCGCTGTGAGACCACCCTTGTACTGCCTGTGTTGAGACATATTTCTCTGTTCCCACCTATGAACCTGGTCCATCCATCAATTAGTCCATTTCATTAGTTTTTTCAGACAAGTCTTTCAGATTTCTCAGTGTCCAAAACCTCGTTTTAGCACCTCTCTGGAATGGAAAGAAAGAACTTGGAATGCAGTTCTTTTTGCTGCCTGGGCTCTACTGGCTTAGTTCTCCAGTGAGGGTAACTTGTGATTGCTTCTTTTGGCTAGACAGCATGTTTTTTGGGTGGGGGATAATTGCTGCCTGACTCAGTCTCCCCGTGCTGTTTCTCTGATCCTGTGAAGCCTAGCTATGAAAGAAAAATCATTGCCACAGTTTCTATATTTTTTTATAATTTATTTATTTTCTTTGAAAGGCAGATATTACTGAAAAAGAAGGAGTGGGAGGGAAAGAGAGAGAGAGAGAGAGAGAGAGAGAGGCCTTCCACCTACTAGTTCACTCCCCGAATGCTACAATATCCAGAGCTGAGCCAATCCAAAGTCAGGAGCTTGTTCCAGGTCTCCCACATGGATGCAGGGTCCCACGGCTTTGTGCCATCTTCCACTGCTTTCCCAGATCATCAGTAGGGAGCTGGAATTGAAGCAGAAAAGCCAGAACATGAATGGCAATCCATATTGGATGCCAGTGTTGCAGGTGGAGGATTAATTTGCTATGCCACTGCACTGCCCCATCTCCATAATTCTTGCTATGAAAAAAACCTCACCTCTTCTTGGCAAACAATTCTAGAAAACTCCCAAGGAAAAGTCTCAGAAAATCTTGTCTATAGCTGCACCTCCCAGAAACCAGATAAATGTTAGTTCATGTGGCTGTCTTATATAAGCACGACAAGGAGAGCTTGAGCAGTGATGTTCCCCCAATATCGTGTTCAGTGGATAGTGTCCTCAATGCTTCCCTTTTTAAAATAAGATCCCAAGTTGAAGTCTTCCAGGGAGTCAGGATTTACTTGCTGTGCCGCTTTTCTGGGTTTTTCTGGCTTCTACCTCCAATTCACTTAGGCCCCAGAGCAGACATTATTTTTCTCCAGGTCAATCCTTAGATTAAACCCTTGAAATGCTGAGTGGGAGCTATAGGAATTTGGGGAAATCCTAAATCATGACTGTGTCATGGTGGCTTATGTGGCCTCTGTGTGCTGGGTGTGAAAGCTCTTCATAATTTTGTTTTCTTTGCAATTTGCCTTTCTAATTTCCTCATGCTCCTCCTTAGGCCCTATATAGAGAAAGAAATATAAATAAAAGGAATAAAAATAATATATTTTAAAACATGACTCTCTTACTTATTTTGAACATTGAACAGTAAAGCATTGTATGTGTCTTCCAGGGCATTGTGGCTTTTCACTGAAACTGAATCCCAAAGATTGAAATACTAGACATATCTCTGTATGATGTAGTTCATTAATACTGAAAACTAGAATAAATACCTTCTGTTTGGAAAGATGTATTTAAAACTTTTGACTAAGAATGCCTTTAGGAAAAGAAATCTACAAAAAATCCATCCAATTGAACAAAATCAGATTTAGATCCAACTTATTTAAAGAATGACCTGTGAGAAGGCCAAATGGTTGGAAAGTTTTTGCATTTGTATTTTTCTAACATGTGTTTTGAAGTTCCCAATGCTCTACTATCTTACTAATATGTCCTTGCAATTTATATGTGTCTGACCCTCTCTTGTTTTAGAAGTCCCAGGAAGCAAGCTTGCTGTGCACATACCTACGAAAATTTTTGGAGAAAAAGGGAAGTTATAGAAACAGAGGAAAAGTGAATGCTGGCTGATTTAACAATGGAAAAATGCTTCCAGAGAAATTCTTTAAGTAATCAGTGTAGCCAGAAGAGCTGCCGGGTGGCTGTTTGAACTCAGCTCATTAGCCTGGTTGCAGCACAGGGCCCATGCAGGGAAGCCATGCCTGGTTTGCAAGACTGATGTATAATGTTGGTATTTAATTAGTGATTCGGCAAAAGGATGGAACTGGTGCTTCATTGTTCAGTCATCTCAGTGGATGACTTTCAGTCATGTTCCTGTACCTAGTGCTGTTTTAGAATGTTAAAATTGTAGACATTTCTTTGAGGAACTCATGTTTTGTTCTCATAAAGAGTGGAATGCAGGAACAATTCACTGTGCATGTAAATATACAATCATCATTCTGTATTATTGAAATAGCTTTCTGATTAGTCTTGGTCTGCATGGTTTCTTCCTTCCAAGTCACCTCCAAGCTCCATCTGTGGACAATCCCCTTTGTTTTACAAAATCCCTTTTCATGCAGTTCTTCCATTGATAATCACCTTTGAAATATGCAATTGTTTTTCATGCAGTTTTTCTATGGACATTCACTTTTGGAATGCAGCTTTTTAATGGCAAACTAGTGCAGACAGAAAAAAATGGCTAGTCGGAATTCCAAGCCCTTTGACTCTTGCCAGTGCCTGTCACCATCCCCCATGTATACCCCTATGCCTGCTTCCTTTTCACACTTTTCTTTCTGCCACATGAACACCAGGCTCTAGTTCATCTACTATAAGCTGTTGCCAGAATGTGATACATCTTATTTATGATCTGCTACAGGCCTCTAACCATGTATTCATTTCTTGCCACCAAAAGTGTTTTTATTTGCCCCATACTCTTCTGTAGACCTTCAATCATTTAAATAAGTTTTAGCAATGATCGTATATAGTATGTTTTTCCTGTCTGCCCAACCCTGAACCAATCATCCTGGAAACTCATTGAGGGCAGGGCCTCTGTTACATGTTCTCTTGAAAGATTACAGTAACAGGCTAATCGTTGTCAATGAGTCTCCAAATGATAAAATACAAATTACTTGGGTAATTACAATTATGATGAGTTTGAAAAACAATTAACTTTGTTGCAACTATTTTAAAAGACATTTCTATCTGCAATTATAGGAAAGTTAGCATTTGCAGGTGGGGATGGGAGTGCTTGGTCTAGCAGTGAAGCACCGGAGTCTGATTCTTGGCTTGCTTCTGATTCCAACTTCCAGCTACTTCAGACTCTCTGGAAGGCAGCAGTTGGCCTCCTGACATCCATTTGGGAAACCCAGATTGAGTCCCTGGCTTGAGTGTAGACCTGGCCCAGCCCTGGTCACTGTGGACATTTGGGGGAAGAAACCAGGAGTGGAGCATTTCTTTAATCTTACTCTATCACCCTCTACCCTTTGTCTCTCTGTGTATCTGTTTCTCATTCTCTCTCTGTCTCTTTTCCTCTTTTTCCATACATGCACACACACACACTTCTTCTTTTTCCACATATATATATGTATATGTAAACACACACCTTTCTCTCTCCCCATGTATATACACATAGCAGTCTCTCAAATAAATAATTTTTTATTGATTACATTGCATTATGTGACACAGTTTTATAGGCACTGGGATTCCCCCCACTCTTCCCCCCACGGTGGATTCATCCACCTTGCTGCATTGCCACTGCATTGCCAGTTCAAGTTCAGTTGGGGTTCTTTCATTGCAAGCATATACCAAGCTCAAATAAATAATTTTTAAAGAACATTAGTTTACAAACTAGACTTCCTTATTTATTTCATTTGACTTTTAGTGTTGTTTACATAGTTGAGAAGATGAATACCCATGTGGGCCATTGATTAGGGTGGGGAGGATCGAGGTATGGAGGAAGGAGGAAGGGACATAAGTTTACATTTTTTTTCTTCATTTTTCCTTTATCTGCAATAGTCAGAAAAGGAGAGGGTCACTCCTTACTGCCAAACTGCATCAGAAAGGAAGGGTGATCAAGTAGACCCTGACACAGAGAATACTACTCCAAGAGTGTTATTTGAGTGTTTTTGATAGTCCTAAAATGTTGTCGGTTTCATTGCTCCAGGGATGAGAAACTCTCTCCAAGATCTGTTGGTTGACAAAGGTTACTCTAGTGCATCTATAGATCCAGACACTTGCTGCAGAGCTTAGGAGAGTTGTTCAACCTGTGCTTTTCTCTATCCTCTGACAACACATTTGATGTCTTCTGCTAACCTAGATGAGCTGTCCATCATGTGCCCTCTGTGCAGAATCTGGGCATGTAGTCCAATTCACAGGCCTCAGCAACTGAGGAGGCCAAGTCCTGGTACTCCAAGGCTGGATCACATAGCCTGTGATTTTCCCTGTGGCCACAGGGTTTCAGTCCAGCGGGCTAGCCCGTGACTCCTCCAAGAACTTTACCTGGGGTGACTGCAGACATGACTCTGGTGTATACCAGCTAGTGTGAGATTCAGTTCAATCTGTCACTTGCCTAGTCTGTTCAAGTACCACTGAATTCAATTGCCTAGTCAGTTCCTCCCCCAGTCCCATCTCCCATGCAAGCCAACAGGTGCTAAGGCCTAGTCCAACCCAGCTTGCCACAAATCCAGCCATTACAAACCAGCAGAAACTGCAGCCTAATCAGAGCAACCCTGAGTAATTCCCACCAAACAGCCTACCCCTAGCCTTGGCTCCTGTGTGTACCAGTGTGTACAGCAGTCTAGATTGGTCAATCCCAAATCCCATAAGACTCTGGTACATTCCCATGGATGCTATAGCTTAGGTCAGCCCAACTCACCACCCTCCTCCAAACCAGCACACACATATTCCAATGGGCTGGACCCACACCCAGCCCTTGCTTTCATGCTCATCAGCAGAAGAAGCAGCCCAACAGGGGAGTGCTGCTACAAGGCCTGCTCCCAGGTCTGCATCTTGTGCTTCCCAAGGAGTACTGTGGTCTAGGCTGACATGGCTTATACCCAATCCCAACCCTTGCCAGTGGATGTTGCAGTGTAACATAGCTGGCTAGTATTTATTCTGATTCTTGCATATGCTAGCAAATGTAGTATCCTAAGCCTAGATTGGCCATTCCCCACACCCAGCTCACATGCAGGCCAATGGGTGTTGTAGCCTTGCACAGTCTAGTCTCACATGTTCACCTGTGGGAGCAGTGGGCTAGCAGGGGAGTCTCTGAAGTTCCCCTATCAAACACAGCCTCAACCCTGGGGTCCTCTGTGTGCTGATGGGTGCTGTGATCCAGTCTGGCATGGTGTGCCTCACCTCAGCATTTGCCAGTGGTATACCTGTGGATACCAAGACTGGGCTAGCCCACCCTAATCCCAACCCCAGCTCTGTGAGTGTTAGTGAGCTCTGCAGGCATATTTAACTTGGCCTGTCATCACTCCCAGCTCTCATGCAAACAAGTGAGTCCTGTAAGCCCATGGAGTTGTGCAGTCGTATAGCAAATGCCTCCAGACCTCATTTTCTTGCATGCCATTTGGTGTCATGGCCCAGCCATGCATGGATCATCCCCTGTCCTGAAACTCACTGGTAGGAACTGTGCCCAACCCTGCAGGCAGACCCCAGACCCTTAATTTTCATGTGCATTGGCAGTGGTGGGTAATGTCATCTAGTCTAGCTCAGGTCTCCCATGTGGGCAGGTGCATTGGTCTGATCCAGACATGTCCTCTGGTTTCCCCTCTCTAAACCATCTGGTCTCAACTCCTTTGTTTGCTTGTGAGTGCAGTAGCCTGGTATGTGGAAGCCCCTAGAAGTCATTCATCACCTGTAAACTACTCCCTCAGCAATCCAAACTCCCTTTGGGGCAATCCATAGCCCTCCTGCTAGTGTGGGTCTCAGGGTCATCTTCTAGGGGAGCCATCTACTAACAGGGCCTGCCAGCCCCTCCCTACATATCTTAAAAAAGAAAGAATTGGAAACTATGTTGGCACATCGGCATGGTTAATACAAATCTATCATTAACCAGGTTCAGAATGCCCTCCAACTATTGGCTGCTTTTCTCCCAGCAGTGTTTAGCACTTGTATGCACAGAGCTAGGCTATAAAGCTTGTATAAAACCTAGGCAGTTGCCAACAGCTGAGGTAGACTTTCTAATTTGGATAGGTGATCCATCATGTCCTATGTCCTGACACGAAGAAAACATTAACACAGGCACCAGAAGGCATTGTTCAGGGAATGATATTCCTGAATGACCTTTTGCACAATGGTTAGGAAGTTCTACAAATCTTTGTCTAACACTCCTTTCATTTTCCTAAAAAAAAAAAAAAGTATCATCTGTCCTATGAACAATTTTCACTTGGAAAAAAATAAGGAAGAAAGAATTATCTTTGAAAGTGAAGTTCATAATTATTCAGAACCACAGATTTCATCAATGCCTGGGGAATCTGAGATTAAGTGGCTGAGTTTACTCAGAGTGCAGCACAGGCGTCTCCTGTGTATTCCACACAGGCACCTTTGCTTCAGTCCCTGGGACGTGAGCAACAGGAAGACGATCACTCTTTCACAAAGCAGCCAATCTAGATGTTTAAATAATGACCTGGAGCCCCACGTCCTATGACTTTGTCTCTGTGCCACATGCTATTCCTCAACTGCCCAGCTGTTCTTATTTGGAGATTTATCAGTACACTGGATTACCTCTCTTCTGTGCTACCTCACACAAATGCTTTCTAGAATATTTTGATGGCATGGTCCTCTATCACTTCATATTGGGAGGCCACTGTAAGATTTCTCCAGACTTTCTCAAGTAAATGTGGAGTTTTTGCATATTTGACAACTGTGGTCATTTGAGGGTCAGGTGCATCTGTCCATTAAACAAAAGGCTAGAACATCATCCTGTAAGGGATCCTTTTTTTTTTTTTGGCTAAGTTTTCTGGTTAAAAAAAAAACACAGTCAGAAGTTGAATGGTAATATGAACTAACCTCTGAGATTCCTGCATTATTGTTCTTAGAACTAAGCTCAGAGATCATCTGTTTCCCCACTAGCGTAAAGGAACAGATCCTGCCTAACTCTGCCCCCACTCATTGCACACTTATCACACCAATGTCTTTCTGCTCCCCAAAGGAGCTGAGCATGGAGTTGATTCAAAGCCTCTCTATGTTCGCTTTCCTGGACCCTCACATGACTCCTTCCCACTGAGCAGATCTCAACTCAAACATCATCCTTGAAAGGAATTTTCTCTGGCTCCATGAGGAGACCTCATTTCACCTGAGAGTTTAGACTAAGATCCCGTCTTCCTGTACGGGTAATACTTGCCTTCTAATATTATCATGGATTTGTCTTTTCTCTCTTTCCGTCCTACTAGAGTGTAAACTTATGTGGCGTGACACTCTCTTTGTGTGTCACTGTATCCCTTAGAGTTCTAAACCCATCATACAGCAGGTGTTTGATAAATATTGGTAAAGGAACCAGTACCCAAGTAGTGAGTGGTTAGTTCTATCACTCAATGAATGAGGAAGAATGACTTGAAATTGACATGACTACATTTCATTTGTCATAAAATTCAGAAGATGATAGATTACTTTCATGTTAGAAACCAAAAACATCTGGATTTGAGGAAAGAATCCAGTTTTCACCTGGCTAACCTTGATTAAAACAAAGAATGAGCCCCCATGCTCCAACCCCAGCCTTTTTTTTCCTCAGAAGAAATGGTCAAAAAGCTGTGTTTCTTATTTTTGACACACGGTGGCACTGTTGTTTCTTCAACTGTTAGAGAAAGTGCCTTAGCAAGCTGCTTGAGCTGCCCTTTTCTGCCAGTTTCTTATGCAGTCCTTCTGTTATCTTGAAAAGTGTAAGTGCCGCTAGCACAGGCACTGTCCCTAAAGATTTTGTAATTTGGTAATTCGATAATGCTTGCAGGAAATTCCAATGATCACAGGCACCTTGGTGATCGCATTGCATCCCTGAGAACTGTATTTTCCTATGTGCCTATGCAGAGTGCTGATGTGTACTTGCTGCTTTGCCCATGTGTCTCTCCTCCCTCCAGGCAGTCAGTCCTCTTAGTGTGTCATGATTCCACAGATGGCACCTGTGCTCTGAACGCTGGCCTGGATGGATTCAGAGCCGTTCAATGACTTCTGTCCCCATCTGTCCACATCTCCATGAGAGCACAGAAGGCAGACTCACTTACTCAAGCTATGATTATTTTCTATGACTGTGGCTATTATTTTCAGCATTGTGGTCTTTTATTCTCTGTAGATGTTATCTGAATTTCCCTAGATGTCTCTATTGAGAGAAAAAAGTTACTATTCCTTAACATTGTCTACTGCATAAACTTAGGAAACCCAGTAGTCCAGGCTACACTGTTCCAGACAAAATTAGGGCCCAATCATGGGGTTGACAGAAAGAGCTTCGTTAGATGTTCATTATGAATTTCCCAAATTCCTAAATAGTCTTAATCTTCATAACTCTTTAAATACAATACCTGGATAACTTTTCTGAGTAGATGTAACAAAGAGGAATGTTGGATTACTAAATGACTGAGTCTCGTATTAAATTTCTGGTTATGTATTAGTAAGATGTGGATTTCACTTGACACCCATATGGATGAAGTTTTGTGGTTCGCTGATATCCTAGAGGACCTGACAGGCTAGAGCTCAGCAAAGCGATCTGTGGGCACATTCTAGACTTGTGCTGGCTTCTGAACCTTCATGGCGATCCCCATGCAAGAGCCATCTCCGAATGGTGGCTTGCCAAATACTTTCAGGTGTGGCCAGAAGGAAGCTGCTTGTGCCTGGAGGAGGAGGACGACCTTCCTAAGAAAATGGGCTATAAGCTGTTGGCAGATGTGGAAACACAGAGGAAATACAGGCGAAAACATTGCAAAAATCTCTGGTCTTAAATTCTCTCACCCTGAGACAAACATATTTCTGAGAGGTTTCACTGCTGTTAGCCATTGCTTACATTAGTGGGAATTTTTTTTAAAGATTTATTTTTATTATGTTTTTATTGGAAAGGTGGATATACAGAGAGGACAGACAGAGAGGAAGATCTTCTGTCCCATGATTCACTCCCCAAGTGAGCACAACGGCTGATGCTATGCCGATCTGAAGCCAGGAGCCTCTTCCGGGTCTCCCATGTGGGTGCAGGGTCCCAAAACTTTGGGCCATCCTCGACTGCTTTCCCAGGCCACAGGCAGGGAGCTGGAAGGGAAGCGGGGCTGCTGGGATAGAACCGGCACCCATATGGGATCCCGGGCGTGCAAGGCGAGGACCTTAACCACTTGCGCCACCGCGCCGGACCCTACTGGGAATATTTTTGTCTTACTTTTCATAGAAGAATGTACTAGCATTTGACGGAAGGTTCTCTCCCCTTTATTTCATTTTCCGCAGTGACATAATTTCTTGCTGACTGGTGTGTTCTCTCTGATAAATAGTGTGCTCATCCACGTTGGCCTGCTGAGAACACAGCACACATCATACATTGGATGAATGTACATGCAAAGAGAGCAGATTTTGTGCATTCCACAGGTACAGTTCAAAGAAGACAATCACACTTTCCTCGCTTTCCTGTTCCCTGCCAATATCCCTGCTCCCTTTGCTCTCTTCAACAATATTTGCACTGACAATTTTAATCCAAAGCCTGGTTCACCATTAATCATAATACTTAGCAAGTAAAATATAAACACACCTCAAGACCACTTTCTCCTGGGGCATAAACTTGGGCTTAAAAATGACAGTCATATCCCCAAGTGACTGTCATTCCTTCACTTTCGTGTGTGTGTTCTATATTAGCTGCCAGATATCAGATGAAATGTATGAGATCTGATTTTTTGATACTGGCTTATTTTTTACTAAGGATATGGGTTCCAGTTGCATCCATTTTGTTGCAAAAGATAAGATTTCATTCATGTTTTGGTTGAGTAGAATTCCATATTCTACATACACCACATTTTCTTTATCCAATCATCAGTTGATAAACATCTGGGTATATTCCATACTTGAGCTAATACGAAATCAGTTGCAATATCATGGGGATAGAGTAAATTTATAAATCAGCATGTGAAATGCTTGGTGTCTGTTAGAAATTAATAAAGCACAACTTTCTAAAATTAATTTTTCTGGCCAGAGTTCATTTAAATGACACTATACAGTACTTGGGTTTATTCTCGGATCTTTATCCATTTGCTTACCATCACAGCTAAATGTGTGAGTTAAGCAGTTTTCGCACTGCAAGATTCAGCGTTAATTAATACACATAGAGGGGTTTAGTAGACATCTGTAGATCATTAAACTGCAAATACAGCGTATATTTAACATATTTAATAAATTTGCCCAATAAATAAGACCATTGAATAAGAGATAACTTTAACTTAGCATATCATTGTTTTCATTTGTGGTATTCTTGGGAGGGGTCACTAAAAGAGTTAATAATTGGTGTCCTGTTCCTTGGGATACTATAGATGGAGGGTAGAAGCATTGTGATTTATTTCTCCCTGGATCTACATTCTATATTATCCCCCTCTTTTTAAAATTTCACTTTTTTATTTAACAAATTGCCTCTAAAACTGAATTTCCTTTCTTGGAACCGAAGAATTTGTCAAATGTTTGCTCTGATATTTCTGTCATAACTCAAACTCAGATGTTCACTTGTTAGAATGGAAGCACAAGCTGATAGCACTGCTGTGTTTGCAGGTGTCATCTACCACTGCAAGTTAATGTTGCTCACAGTGGGGCTGCCAATGGTGTGGATAATACCCAGCTCACCAAGTGTCCGTTTCGTTTTTGTGCCACTAATGCGCTTTCCTTTATCTCAGCCATTCCCCCAAACACAGTCCATTGTAGCACCTTTGCCATCAGCAGTTTGAAGACAGAGCTGGACAAATCCTACACCGTGCTGCTCCTCAGCTAGTCCCGGGCAGACAAGGTCCTGGCCTCCATTCAGGCACAAAGGTGGCTTTGGTCAAGAAGAAACCTGATGATGGTCATCAACACTGGATCCACAAGGAAAACGGCAGGTAAAGTCATCACAATTGGGGCTTAATTGATCAAAAAGTGAATAAAAACCTAAGCAGGCTAGCATGGCCCCCACAGAGCAAGCAGAGGTATATTTGAGGGTGTTAGATTTCTCATTTAACCCAGTTGGTAATCTTTATCCTAGCAAAAAAAAAAAAGCATGAAAACAAATATAAATACTAGTTAAGCTATGAATAACTTACCCACAAACCAATTCAGATGAGAAATATTTACTCTGGTCAATGGGGTATTGATATTTGCATACCCATTGTGCTCCAGGCTCCACTTATTTCAGATTTGATTTTTAATAAATAAACAGGAATTAAATAACGGCTACCAGACAAACTGGGGCAGACGTTTCAGGAGTCTTAACGATTGGGTGTGGACTGGCTCTGGAGAAATATTTATCCCACAGTATAAATCTATCTGCATAATCACAGAAATTCTGAACCTATTTCTGCATTGCCTCTTGGTGGGTTGCTTTCTTCTCTTTCAAGTAGTTCGATATTGAAACCGAGATGTTGGGGCTAGTGCAGTGGCATACCATGCTAATCCTCTGCTTGCAAAGGTCAATATCCCATATGGATACCTATTCATGTCCTGGGCTGCTCCCTGCAGTTCAACTCGCTGCTTAGAGCCTGGGTGGTAGAAGGTGGGGGGCAAGGAGGATGACTCAAGTCCTTCAGTTCCTATACCTGTGAACGAAACCTAGAAGAAGGTCCTGCCTTCTGTCTTTGAATAAAGCTCAGCTCTGGCCATTGTAGTCAGTTAGAGAATGAACCAGTAGAATGAAGATCTTTCTCTGTTTCTGTTTTTCTCTATAAATCTTTTAGAAGATGGCAGACTTTTACAGACAGAAAGAGAGTGAGAGAAAGACCTTTCATCCACTGGTTCATTCCACAAATGGTTGCAAAGGCAAGCGCTGAGCCAATCTGAAGCCAGGAGCCAGGAGCTCCTGAGAGAGACTGTGACTGTGAGGACAAAACCTTGCTAGAATAGCACATAGCCTAGGCTAGCAGGACAACAAATGCAGGAGCAGATCGTAGAAGGTAAAGGAGAGTGCCACTTGAAATCACACAGAGGAAGAATCCAGGCCAACTTTGGAAATAACCCTTCTCTTGTTTTCAACTATGGTGTAATCAGAATTAACCGTTTAGTCTACAAAGAGAAAAGATGAAAAAGTACTTGGGGATGGAAATCCCCTCAACAGAAATCAAGATTGTAGAGAAGAAAATACAATGCCAGAAAATCTGAAGTTAAAAGACAGCTTAAAGGTCTTTTAAAATTGATTACACAGCAAAATAATCTGAAACTCCAGGAGATTGAGTGTTGTGTTTATGCTCATAATCTAAACTAATGGAAGAGTCTGAATTATGAAACTCTATGTTGAGAGGATGTAAAACAAGTTCATAGCTTGCTTCTTAGCACAAGGATGTTTTATATGGATATCTATAAACTCAGGTTTCCCCCAGAATGAAGGTACTTTTCTGCTATGGACAAGCACCAGGTGACAGTGCTATTCGACTAGTGAAAGAAACACAACAGAGTAATGGCAACGCATGACAGCAACGCATGAGAGAGATCACTTCATCTATTCTAGACAATAACAGATTAGAATTATCAAGGAATCCATCTAGTCTTGTCACCCCAGTAGACCATTGAAGGAAATACACAATTATTTGTTTATTTTAATAGTATTATTGGAGGCCAATGAAAATGCAAATGATACAACATGTTGAAGCCACAGAGATGAAAATACAGAGTACTAGCTCTCATGCAGTGTAACCTTGATATATGCAAAAGAGGTATTTCATAAACCTGAGTAGCAGTTTTGCAGTGAAAATGGTGCTTTACTTACACAAAAGGAAGAGTACATCATAGGATTAATAGCTATTATTGTGGAGGGATATGAGTGATTTAAATAGGTTTGTTGAAACAGGCACTGTGGTGCAGCAGGCTTAGCTGTCGTTTGGGATGCACTGTCCCTTCTCAGATGTAAGGGTGCTGCTGATCCAGCTTTCTTCTGTGTGCAGATGATAGCTCAAGTACATGGCCACGTTGGAGAGTCGGATGGAGCTCTTGGCGCTTGCATTTGACTTGGTACAGTTCTAGTTACTACAGCCATTTGGGGAAGGAACCAGGAGTGCAAGTGTGTATGTGTGTGGTGTCTCCCTTCTTTCTCTCATCCTGTTGTTCAAATAAAATAAAATTTTGTTACAGCTTTTTTATATTTTCCAGTATTTTGTAAATCTTTACAATGAGAATATATTACAATCAGAAATTTGGCTTGAATATCTGGAAATTTCTTTTGCATCTTGAAAGGAAATGTATGTGACTTTTATAATGGGTATTATCATCCCACCTTCTCCTCTTGTCTCCATTCCCACATCATTAAATTTTAGATTCAAGAGATGTTATGTTTTCCACAACAGGATGGTTATGGTGAAAACAAGAAAGACCATCTGGAATGTATGTGGGAGTGCAGCTGGTTGCTGGAGATACTGACATGCAGTAGGAACGGACTGCTGGTACTGCAGCAGGCCTGGAACATGTAGTGTCTATACCAAGAGGGCAGTGGACGGATACTCCAAGGCCAGACCAGGGATGTAAGGGTGTCAGGAAACCGTTCTGTGCATCTGGTTGGAAGAGTATCACTGAATAGACTCATTACCAATGCCTGACTCCATATACAACACAAAGGAGCAGATTGTCCTTTTTCTTGCTGTGTTCTAGTGTCATACAATGAGAAAGCATTCTAATCATGCTTATCATCAAGAAAAAAGGAAGGATTTACATAAATAAATACATAACGCATGGAGAGCCAAGACACAATAGCTAGGAGATCTAATCTGGCCATTCTGTTTTATAATATGACTGATCCTGCTTCCCCAGGACCTTGCTCTTGATAAGTAGCTAAGACCTTGTGCTGGCAATGTCAATGACCAAGGGCAGAAACGAAGTCTGTGACGATCCAGTTCCTGCTCAGGTGTAGTCATAGCTCTTCAACCAAGTATAAATAGATTGTATGCCTCCTTGTGGAGAAAAAAAAAATAACTGTCTTTGAATTCTTGCTTGAAAGTCATTATTAAAATATTTACAACAGTCCACCTAGACTTCAAACCAAGCACGTTCATGTAGCTCTTGATTTAGTTTAATCCAACAGATGGTGTCTGTGGGCTTGCTGCGTTTCGGGCACTCTGCTAGTTTCTGGAATCAGATCCAGTAGCAAGCATGAGAAGTTACCCCTATAGCATCTGGGCAGCTTATGTTCTCAGTGATGGAATGCAGTCAAATGAATGACTGCTGAAGCATGTGCGTTTGATCATCGAGGGCACATGCAAGTCCTCCATACCTGGCAGCTAGAAGGAGCGAACCTGGCCAGGGAGGTTTGCCTGGATTACACAAGCTTACTGAGTGACCCCTTTACAACAATTTGGCTGCAAGTTTAATGATGCTTATAGCAGCCAAATACATTTTGGGCACTCCAGAGAAGTCTGCCTTCGCTTTCGTTTTGTAAAATGACCTAAGAAGTTCTTTTTTCTGCATTTCTCTTTCTGACTACAACCGCAAGCACTCATAACATAATAAATGCTTTCCTAACCACGAGGATTGCAAGTTTAAGAATGTTCTCCACTCTGCATTTAGTTTCTGTATCCTCCACGATGTTTCACTTCTTAAAACAGAGTATCATGTCTTCAAATAACATTTATTTTATTATTTATTTTTCATAGCAGAGAGGGATAGTGTTTTGTAAGCCATGCATTCAAAATTGGGATGTAGAAATCTATAGGCTAATACCAAAACTTGATTAAATCTTGTGTCCTAAAGCCGAGAGAACTAAAGCTTGATTCCAGGAGAGACGGTGTGTATATCATTATGTTCATATCTGTCAGCTGCCTCTTCAGCACAGACCACAGCGATATAAAAGCTCTTGCTGATGCACATTTAAGACCCTAATCAGTTTCATGAAATTTTAGATATTAATATTTTCCCTTAAGGTTCTCATTAAATAAGAAATAAAATGGATCCCAAGGTAATTTGGATAACCTTTCAAGACTTTTTCTTTCCTGATGTCTCATTTTTATTTATGGAAGCAATAAGTTTGTGAAAAATATTAAACTTCATATCAAATAATAAAAGTGGGGCATGTGAGATTAAGGCTACTAGACCCTTTCCTGTTCCTTGACGACATAGCCTTTGGTTTGTGAGGCCTCTGGGGGAGCCTGCATGGTCTGGCCTGTTACATCATTTTTGAGGTTTTTTCTCTTTCTTACTATTGATTGTAAAATGGGATGCATTTAGTGAAAAATAATCTATTTGCTTAAGTTCTGTAACATTGAAAGTATTTCTTTACTTGTACCTGAGCCAAGTTTAATAATTAGAATACAGGTACTGCTTCAATTACATACATAACTAAATGCACTTAGACAAAAACAATGAACTTCCCCGATAATCAGTGGGATACAAATTAAAGTATTAACAAGGTAATTTTAAAATTTATTAAATCAGTATTTTGCAAGATTGTCCATTTTGACAAGAATGCAAAGAAAATGTGTCATAACATTTACTGTTAATGAAAGTGTGAAGTAAAAGCATTTCACTAGAAAGCATTTTGACATATCATAATAGTCTTTAAAAATTAGAGTATTTTTTTCAGCAGCACTGCTTCTAGAAGTCTATCGATGTAAAATCTTGAGTTTAAGTAAAAATTTATCTTTATTATTGTTCATTGCTATTTTGTCTATTTAAAGAATAGATTTAAAGAAAAATTTAAACATTTTTTTTTTGAAAATTAGAATTACAGAAAGAGAGGGAGCTGGTTCACTTCTCAGGTAATATCTATTGTTGTTTAGCCCAAGCCAAAGCCAGGGACCAGGAACCAGGAGCTTCAGTATGGTCACCCATCAGGACAGCAACAGCTTAAGCACTTGGGCCATCTTCCATTGTTTTTTGTAAGTCATTAATAGGTGTTTGGATTGGAAGTGTACAGTGCAGAAATGAGCACTCATGTGGGATGCTAGCATTATAGGTGGCGGCTTTACCCCTGTATATTTTTCTTTCTTTCTATGTATCTATGTATCTATCTATCATTTATCCCTCTCTGTCTCTTTTTTCCTACATATAACTATGACTTTTAAATAAATAATCCTTTAAGAAGTGGATAATTAGAAATATGTAGATTTTCATTTATAATTACCAGAATATCAACAGTAGTTGTTACTGCGTAGTAAAATTACTATTGTTTATCTTTATCCTCTGGATTTATGCGCTGAACAATATGACTGCTCCAAACTTGTCTTTGTATTTAACTTCAGATTTTGTTTCTTTATTTGGAAATATGGGCCATAAAACAATGGGACTGCAAATCAAAAGTGGTATTACAGGGAAAACATGAAAGCATTTGTGGTTCTTCATAGCCATGCCCTGGATGAGGAAGACACATCAGCAAGTTATGTTGATGTTTTTACATCATTTGTTATTAAAGAAAACATTGCTCTGCCAGTAAGTGAAATAGGGTTAAATAGAATAATTTAATAAATTGAGAAATTTTTCCTCACCTAGAAAGCTTTATATCCAAGCAATTTGAATACAAATATTTGAATGAAATCACTTAGATTGTGATTTTGGTTAAGAAAGAACGAAAGAAAATTGTGAGGAATTCGTCAGTCAGTGCATGATTCTTTCTCCCCAAAGAAAAAGGAAAAAAATGGGCTGAAATTGAGTAATTTAATAAAGTGAGAAACATTTTCTCACCTAGAAGACTCATGTTCAAAGAAACTTAACACAAATTTTTGGATGAAATTGCTTAGACTTTGATTCTGATTAGGAAAGAATCAAAGAAAAATGTGAGGAATTGAACAAATCAGACAGGCTATATAATAATTAATATAATAATATAATAATATAATAATATAATAATATAATAATATAATAATAATTACCTATTTTTTAAAGATTTATTTATTTTTTATTGGAAAGGTGGATATACAGAGAGGAGGAGAGACAGAGAGGAAGATCTTCTGTCTGATGATTCACTCCCCAAGTGGTTGTAATGGCCAGAGCTGCGCTAGTATGAAGCCAGGAGCCAGGAGCTCTGCCAGGTCTCCCACACAGGTGCAGGGTCCCAAGGCTTTGGGCCATCCTCGATTGCTTTCCCAGGCCACAAGCAGGCAACTGAATGGGAAGTGGGGCTGCTGGGATTAGAACCTGTGACCATATGGGATCCCGGCGAGTTCAAGGCTAGGACTTTAGCCTGCTATCGCACCTGGCCCTCTTTGATGTTTTATTATGGAAGTTTTCATACATATCCCAAAGTCCAGGGGTTAGCACAAAGAATCCTCATTTGCCTAAAATTCAAATTCAACCATTGTCATGGTTTTGTCATATCTGCCCCACACACACACACTTCTAAAAATCTTAAATGTTTTCAGAGATAATGATCATGCAATTGTAACACCAACAAAATTAGCAATTACTCTTTCACCATCTAACTTTATTCTTTTATTGTTTTTGCTGAAAGGGATGCCACAATTTTTTCTTTTTTCTTTTCCTCCTTATTATATTATTATTAGTATTAATATTATTTTATGATACAGTTCCATAATCTCTGGAATTTTTCTTATTGCACTCCTTAAATTCCATCCCCCTCCAATCTTCCCCATATTATTACAATATAATAGATCTTCATAAACCTCAAGCACATCATTGCGGGCATGGACAATAGCATGGAGTCCAGCATCCAAATTGTCAAGATGTTTTTTAGCAGTTTCATTGGGAGTCTATCTTTGATCTTGAAAGTGGAGATGCATATTGCATTGTATCCTCACATCTGGACATGATAGTCTCTATTACTCAGTGACTATAGATCCTGTTAAATGAAAAACTGCAAAACAAAATCAACAACAGGAGGAAGAACAGACATTTACAAATAACATGCTACTGAATGACTGTTGTGTCACTGAAGAAATGAAAAAGAAAATCAATAACTTCCTTAAAAAAAGATGTTAGGGCTCAGTGTGGCAGCCTAGTGGATAAAATCCTTGCTTTGCATGTGCCAGACTCCCATATGGGCAGTGGAACCTGTCTAGCTCACTGCTTGTGGCCTGAAAAAGCAGTGGAGGATGGCCCAAAGGCTTGGGGCCCTGCACCTGCATGGGAGACGCAGAAGAAGCTCCTGGCTCCTGGCTTTGGATTGGCTCAACTCCAGCCATTACAGCCATTTTGGTAGTGAATTAGTGGATTGAAGAGTATTTTCTTTGTCTCTACTCTATGTATTTCTGACTTTCTAATTAAAAATAAATAAATCTTAAAAAACAAAACAAAACAAAAAGAAAATGATGCTACTGTATGACTGACCTATGAGACGGTGAATAGTTTAATTTGAGAAAAAAATATTTTAAAGAAATAAAAATAAAAACAAGATCTTTGTTGGAGAGATGTGTCACCTATAGGAAACAGATAGGTAGATTTTGTTTCTTCATTCAGTATACTAAGCTTTGATGTTTTGTTGATGAGTTTAAGCCAATTACATTCAGGAGTAATATAAATGGGTAACAATTTGGTCCTGTCATTTTAGCAATGGATTGTTAATTGTTTGATTTAGTCTTCTGTTGTTATTTTACTGGAATGCTATTCTTGCTTTTGGGTTTGGTAAGTGCCATTCCTTTTCTTTGTCAAAAGAACATCTTTAAGAATCATTTGTAAGACAGGCAAATTCTTCAAGCTTTTCTTTACTGTAGAAGAATTTAACTTCATTTTCAAAGACAGAGGAAAGCTTTGCTGGGTATGTATTTTGGACTGATTTTTCTTTTCTTTTTAGAACCTGGAATTTGTCACTCCATTCTTTTTTGGGTTGGGGAGTTTCCTGCAAGGAGTCAGCTGTGAGTCTGATTGCCATTCCTCTTTGGGTAAATTGATTTTTTTCACATGCACATTTAAAGATCCTTTCCTTATATTCAACTGAAGAAAGCTTGTTTATTATGTGTCACGGTGAAGATTACTTTTGGTCAACCCTATCGGGAGTCCTGTATCCCTCCTGTATCCTGTTTCTCAATTCTTTCTGTAGACTAAGGAAATTTGCCTTATTATTTCATTAAATACATTTTTAAACCCAGCTTCTCTTTCTGTGCCTTCTGGAACTCCCATAATGCTTATATTTGGCTGTTTAGTAGTGTCCCTTAATTCGTGCATACTTTTTTTAGTTTGATTTAGCTCTTCTTCCAGTGCTTTGATTGTTTCACCATTGTGGCATGAGATAGCTTCCAATTCTGAAATTCTTTCTTTCTTCTGCCTCTCATTCAATTATGGAGAATTTCCACTGAATTTTTAATTTGTTCTGTTGTGTCCTTCATTTCTAATAATTCTGCTTGGCTTTAAGTATTCTAGTTCCTGTTTGACATATTCCTTAAATTCCTTGAACTCTTGTATGTGCTTATTTTTGTTGGTAAGAAGTTTTATAACAACTGTTTTGAGATCTTTTTTTTTTAATTTTGATTTTTGAATTTTATGGTACAATTCTGTAGAGTCTAGAATTCTTCCTCTCCCAAATGCCCCTCCCCACCAGTGATTTCCCCCATATTGTTAAAATAATATAGTCCTTCATAAGGAGTTATAATTTCATCAGTCTGTTAAGTGTGCCCAGATATTGCTGGTACAAACAATGTCAAACAGTCCAGCATCCCATTGTCTAGATATGTCCAACAGTTTCATTGGGAGTCCATCTTTGATTTGAAAGTAGGGATGCATATTACAATGTATTTTTACTTCTGCATATGGTAGTCTCTATTATGCCATCACTATGCATTCCCATAAATGAGAAGCCATGAAGCAAAGTCAACAATAGGAATGGAGTCAACAACAAAAACAACAAAAATTTGCAGCACTATGGAGTTAAAAAAAATGTGCTGCTGAATAACCAACACTTAGGTGACAAAAAGAAAACACAAAAGCCTCTTGGGTAAAATGACATTACTGTGTAATCCATGATCCAGGGGTGAATTCAACAAGAGAAAAGAAACCATTTGGAAGAAATGAAAATAAAATCAAAACCACCAAAATACATGCAATGCAGCTTAATATAGTATGGAAAGGGTCATTAAACTTGCAATTTGCATGATGGTTTTCATATATTAGATAGAATATATGGTATTTGTCCTTTTGGGATTGACTTATTTCACTGAGCATAATGATCTCTAGTTGGGACCGTCTAGTTACAAGTGGTAAAATTTCATTCTTTTTAAAGGCTGAATACTATTCCATGGAGTAGATGCACACCAGTTTCTTTAACCACTCCTCTTTGGAAGGGCATCTGGATTGTTTCCATATCTTTGCTATTGTAGATTGTGGTGCTATAAATATAGGATTACATATCTCCTTCTCATAAGCAGTTTTCATTTCTTTTGTGTATATTCCTAGGAGTGGGATGGGTGTGTGATCTATTCATCCCCCATTTTTTCAACATATTCTTCAGTAAACTCTGTAAAGTCTTTGTTCCTTCGCAGGGGAGTCTTCAGTAATTTTCATTATGCCTCTGTCTCTTCTTTTGCTCTTGGTCATTGCACTTCTGGTTAGCAGATTTTTCCTCTTAGGGCAGTTTTTTAAGCTATATCACCCAGAGGTCAGCAGTTTGATTTTACTGATTGTATTTGATACCTAGTTCTTTGTTTGTAGCCTCTTGTGCTGCTCCCTACAGTGAGTTTCAAGGATGGATTCTTGTGTTAGGCTTCCACCACAGTCTCTCTAGCCCCAGCTCCTGGCTCACCGCTCTTTGCTTCTTATGATCCCATGGTGAGTCTCCACCATTGTCTGTACAACCTTTATCCCATTTCCAGTTCAAGCAGTTCCCATGATTAGGGAGACACCAGGTGCCATAGGCTGTTGGTAGTGCTGATCTTGCCAGAACCTGCTGGCAGTTAGGTCTGAGGACTACCCAAACTTATTTTGATTCATAGGATGCCAGACTCAGTATTATTTTTACTGTGGAACTAATGCAATGCCCTGAGCTCAGTGAGTTCACTACAAGATTGGAGTATGAGCAGCTCACTGTTGTCCCTCCAGTCCTAATGCCTTTGCCGCACTGTACAAAATTGCACCTGATGTGCCACTGGAGTTCTGGATCTGTTGATTATTAGGTCCTGGGGCAACCCAGACCTATTTTGGGTGGAACCTGTAAGATGCCACACCAATGCAATTCACTGAGCTAAAAATGAGTTCTTTCCAAGCTTAGTGCATGTGCAATTCCATCCCCCTGTCTTTGCCTTCCTACACAAAATGATGCCTGATTTGGCTCTGTTGGGGGTCTGGGTTGTGAAACCCACACCATTCCTGCATCTCCAGTTTTGGATATACTGGTTTGTCTCTGCTCCTGTTTGATCAAAACAAATCAGCAGAATAGACGGCTTGTACTAAAAATTGTTTTTGTGATGTGTTGCTTTGAGTAAAGATTCAATAAAGTCCCAATGGACATTCAGTTATATAATCTAGCCCTCCCTTTAATAGAATATTCTTCATTTGAATTTGTGTTCTTCCATGTGGCATCCTTTGACTTCCTACTGTATCTCCTAGAATTCCTGTGAGTGGAATTAAGCACTAGAATTGTAAGTTAATTTATGCTTAACATTTGGGGGGCCAGAATCTTCAGTGCTTCACATTGAACACTGAAATAGGGAACATCTTAGTTTTCCCTTTATGACTATAGTGGTGTTCAGTGAGTGATGGCAATCTGATTCTGTCTGAAAATTATTCAATAATTTTTAATATAACATTATCCTTTTGCCGCAAATGGGCCAATTTTGCCTAATTCTGTTTTTTCCTACCTTTATTAGCTGAACATTTAATCTAGGAAATAACTACTTCAGCTAATAAATATTTGACTACACAAAACCATAATTTGTAAGAAAAGGTATTGTAAATGTATAATCCTTTTTTTTTATCTCACTTAAAAAAAACCATCTGAAAACTTAATGACTTAATTCAGCTTTTATTATTATTTTTGTTTTCTTTGTGGCCAGCAATTTAGGCCAGTCTCAGCTGAGATAGTTCTGCTACTTTTGCCCAGGGTCGCTAATCAAACTTTTTGATTTTCAGATGATAACTTTCTGACTGGAGACAGATGAAACCTCACTGTAGTTTTTAATTTGTATTTTCCTGATGGTTAGTGATACTAAGCATTTTTCTTTTCATGTGTCTATTGGTCATTTGTATTTCACCCTTTGAAAATTTCCTGCTTAAGTCCTTTGCCCATTTCCTTACTGAATTTTAATTTATTTATTTAATTATTTAGTTATTTGTTTTTTGCTGTTGAAATGCTTGTTTCTTGATTGGAGACGCAGCAGCAGTGTGTTTTAAAAGGGCATGCCAATCAGGTTGGGACAATTTTATTTTTCCTTCTTATCAAATTGCGTGCCACATTTTCAAATGGCCAATTTTTAGGATTATAAGTTGGTGCTAGCTTAGTTCCAACAGTTTCCAATAAGCTGTAGTTGTGTTTTTATTTGTTTGGAATTTTGTTGTTTTACTTATATAGTCGGCACCATTATGAATGCATTGGATGTCACATGCTCAATCACATCCAGTTTTTCAGACAACATTCTATTGTTCTCCAATGGTCAGTCTTTGGAGTCTCCTTCATGATTGTACCTGTATCTTTTTGACGTTATTCTTTTATTCTTGGGTGCTTTCTTTTCTTTCTGGGCACCACCAAGACATCCACTGCTTATATATTCTTTCTCCAGATCTGCAACGGACTATTCCTGCAGTAAAACCTGGTACTAGACACAAGTCATGCTCACCAGTATTGCCTTGTTACTAAAGAGTTTGAAAATATATTTGTTGAAATAAATATAATTTTAAGGAGCAAAACAACGCACTTATATAGAGATTTCAAAATTTACATTTGTGGATGATAAAAAGGTTTGTGTTCTAAAATGTTACACAGAAATGTTATCATAATTCAAATATGAATAAATGAGTATCTTTTTTATGATTTAAGGATACTATTATTTCTGCCCTGGTGAGAAACAGAATGATGCTCTGTTTGGCTTATGTAGGATCCAGGCGAACAAAGAAGAAATTGAAACTGTTGCTTCCAGGGGTTCCAATCCTCTGTGCTTCTAGCTCCAAAACCTCTTGAGGGCCTTTCAAGGTCATCAACGTGGCCAAAGTGTGTAATAACAGCTCTGCTAATGTATATATGGCAACAGTTTAGAATCTCTGATGCATTTATTATCTGCCTTGCACTCAAGTTCATCTCCACTCAACTAATTCATCTTCCTCAAATGCACCCTCACCATTCTACCTAAATTGATTTTCTTTTTCCTACTGTAATTTAAAATACATTGTCTATTAATAGTTCAATATACCCTTTGAAGTTAATTGGGCATGTCTGTGACTTTAATCATCTACTGACACCTTTTACTCTTCTCTGTGTAGCTTTCAGGTGACGAAGTAACTGCAAATCTTTACTGAGTTGAGATTCTTTGTTGTCTATATGCACAGGTTAAACTTCTTTTTTCTAGTTTGGAACATTGCAAAGAAATTTGGCATGCTGCTGTTAATGACTGTTCAGGTTGGGTGTCTGAAATCACGCATCCATGTCTAATGTTATTGAGAGCTCATGGGTGGGAAAAATACCTACCACTTTCCTATGGCTTCAGTTTAAAATGACTCCATTTTAGTAATCCTTCAATCTTTCAAGCTTAAAGGTGAAAAGATCAGAATGAACTTACTCACTTGAATAAAAAGGAAAGATTCTCCCAAATGGGCAGATTGCAATAAACATCAAATGCTACAAAAGCTGTGCAGGAGAAAAGGACCAGCTCCCTGCGGAGCCTGAAGGCATTTGGCTATGTGTTGGAGCTAGTGAGAGTGAACCAGTGCCTGATGAGATGACTAGAAAGAATTCTCAGTGCAACATAGTTTCAGCCAGAACTTTCCCCTTAGGGCAGCATCCTGAGGAGGCATTGGAGGGGTGGGAGGGGAAGGCTGAACAATGAGTTTCTTGTCTTTATTACCTTGTAGTCAATTCATGTGGGCTCATTGAGCTGTATCTTCCATATGACAGTATCATCCCAAAGGCATAAACTAAGAAAATATCTGATCATGTCTCTTGACTTCAACTCCAGACTCATTTTGGCCCTGGTATCCTTGTCACTGGGAAGAACAAAACAAACAAATAAGAGAAGACCAGATGAAACTCGAAATGGGCTAATTGGGCAAGGCCATAGTACCCACTGGTGAATGTCAGGACTGGAGGCACATCACATCAGACTGGGCCGAGTACACACTGGCTGTGAATGAGAGACAGGGTAGGAGTTGGTCTGATGAGGAACTCTGGGAGTTCCTCTGTTATACTGTGGCTGCTGCTGGTGAACATGAGAGTTGAGGCTGGTAAAAGCCTAGGCCAATCTATGCTACAGTACCTGTTGTTAAATGTGTGGGTTGGTTGTGGGGATAGGCCCGGTTGAGCCAGTCTACAGCATTCACTGGTGGGTATGAAAGCCAAAATAGGATGCAGGCTGGACCAGGATAGGCCACAATATTCTCCAATTCACGTAAGGCCTGAGACTGGGGGCTGTCTAGACTAAGTTAGGCTGCTACACCAGCCAGCATAAGCTGGGACTGTGGTCAGACAGGCCAAGCCAGGCTGCTGCATTTGTTAGCAAATGTCAAGATGAGGTGGGCCAGGCCAGATGGGCCACAGCACCCATCAGCACATGCAAGACCCTGTGGCTGAGGGTGAACCTGATAGGGGAACTTCAAAGGCTTCACTGATAGGCTGCTGCTCCCATTAGTGAACATGAGAGCTAGCATTGGAGAGAGACTGGTCTGGGCAGGGCTGCAATACCTGTAGGGCTGCATGTGACCTGGGTTTTGGGGAGGGCCAGGCTGGGCTAGTCCACCACATTTGTGGCACTTGCAAGAACAAGAGAAAGTGCAGGTAACCAGGCTTTTTTGCAACTTCTACTTGCAAGGACTGGGATTGGGTGTGAGCCATGTTAGGCTGGACCACGGTACCCCAGGCAAGCACAAAATCTGGAGCTGGGAGTGGACCTTGTAGGAAAACTGTGGGTACTTCTCTGTTGGGTTGTTTCTCCTACTGGTGAGCATGAGAACCAGAGCTGTGTGTAGGTCAGGATGGAAAAGGTGACAGCACCCATTCACATACATGTGTTCTGGGTCTAGGCGGTTTGGGTTGAGTTAAGCAACAGCATCCATGGCTATGTACAGAGCTGAATGGAATGTGAGATCATCAAACTAGACTGCTACACATACTTCCGTGCATAGGAGCTAGGACTGGGGACTGGCCTAGTGTGTGTCCTGAGTAAGCTGTGCTTCCTGTTTGTGTGTGTAATGGTTGGGAAAGGAGGATTATAAGAGAAGGAGTCAGGGAAAGGAAGGGATAGTAAGGGAGAATAAAAGAAGGAGCAAGAGATTGGTTGATTCCATTTATTGATTCACTCCCTAAATGGTCACAACAGCTATCTCTCCTGTATCCCAGCTGCACTTGGTCATATTGTCCAGGTCTATCGCTACTATAACCTGCTGGAGGCTACAGATAAGGCCACTGTAGGTCAGTTGTTAGCACACTGGATGCTAATTCCATTGGAATTGAGGGCAAGGACTGTGCTTGAAATAACTCCTTGGTAAATTAAAGAGAGTCTTTGCTAGTAGTGCTCTAATATAATTTCTACTATTGCAGTATCCAGAGGAATGAGTTTGAGATGAAGAGTTTGGGATTTGGAGCCAGAAAACCAGAGTTCCAAAGTTAGCTCTGCCACTTGTTACCTGCAAGCTCTTAGGCAAGTTGCTTAGCTACTCTATTTGCAAAATGAAGACATGAATAGTTATCTAATTCAATACATTTTTATGAGGGTTAAATGAATATAACACACAAACATATACACATTGGTATATCTTTGTATTGAATATATATTTGATGCCTAATTAAATATATTTATCTGATCCTTATAAATGTAAGTATATTCATAAGAATATATATATAATGTTCTCTATTTAAAAACTAAGATGTACATATTAAATGTATCTGTGTATCCATTTGTCACTTAGAGTCTGATTGATGCCGAGCGTTCACTGAATGTTATTTAACTATAATTATTGTATGTAAGATATTTTTGTTTTGTTATCTAATGAGTTTTTAAATTATGTGACTCCTAAAGCATGCATTTTTTTGCTTTTATCTCTTAACATTATAATTTTAAATTTTGACTTCAAAGCTGATTGAAAACTATGTTTTTTATATAGGGGCTATTGAAAGTACACAACCATCTCTTTTCTCTTTCTACCATTGTCTATTTTTTAAGTTAATTAACTATTTCCCCCCTTTTTTATTTTTAAAATAAATTCTCTTTAGTTTTCAGGATACTGTTGCTTAGGCCCAGGATTGTTCCCTTCCATCCTCCCCCCACCATCTGCCTCCCACAATTTTCCCCTATAAGTCACACGTCCATCCATTCCACCATTTACTCTTGACTCAGGCTAATTGTGAATAGACTACTCATGAAATAAATGGCTTGGAATTGTGCCATCGGTTTGCGTTGAGGAATTTTAAAGAAATGGCTGTTGATCAGCATTCAGCACAGAACCTCCTGTGCAGCCAGTGGTTAAGAGCACAGGCTTGGGGGGCAGTTGTCCTGGGTTCCAATCCTCATTCTGCCACCAAAGTTGGTAATCTCCAGTTACCTCAACTGTAGAAGATGAAAAGAATACAGCACCAGAACCCACCTTGTGAGATGCATAGTTAGATGCCTGGTACACATTAAGTTTTCAGCATATGTTAATTTCTGTAACAGAATATTGCTAAGCTGTATCATAAATGACTTCTTTTTTGATGATCCTTAATTTCAGCAGCCCACAGGATCAGGAACAGAGTATCTTTTGCAGAATTTGAACCCCAAAATTTTGTTTTCTCTTTTACTCTGGCCTCTAGGAAACTCACAGCCCAAAGTATGCTTTAAGTGCAGAAAAAAAAAAAACCCCAAATAACAAAAAAACCCCAGGGATAGAATTTATTTAAGCTCAGAAAACATAAGTGAAACATAAGCCAACACTTATTTGGATGTTTGTCTAAGTGAGTATTTTAAGTGCTATTTGTTTTAATCACTTGTTATTTCTTTTCCTATTTCAGGCAGCAGAACGAGACAGATACTAGTATTCATTTGACAGCTGAGGGCACTGAGACACCTTAGCTTCACTCTAGTACATTCCTACACCCTTTTCTCTTCGACTTGGTTTCCTTCCTTCCTTCCTTTCTCTCTTTCTTTTTTTTCTTTCCTCCTTTCTTTCTTTTTTTTTTTTTTTTAAAGCACACAGCAGTTTGTTTATTTCCCAAATGACCACAATAGTCAGTGCTGATTCAGGCCAAAGCTAAAAGCTAGGGATTCAATCCAGGTGTCTCACATAGCTGGCAAGAGCCCAATCACTAAGCCATTCCTGTTGGTTACACATTAGCTGGGAACTAGAATCAGGAGCTGGAGTGGAGCCCACAAACCCAGACCCTCAGAAGTGGGGTGTGGCCCATCCCAGGATCCAATTTTTTCAAGATTTTATCTACTTGCATTTCTTATTTTTCCCCCATTCAAAGCAGATATTTTGGAAGGTCACCTCACATTTGTTTAAATAATTAAATGATGTGTAGGAGAAAAATTAAAATATTTATATACAATCCTATTATTTAAACTATTTTGATACATGTGAAGTTTTTGACCTAATTTATGCATTGACTTCTTATTTCCAAGTTATTTGTTTATTTTTTAAAAGACTCATTTTTTTTGTTGGAAAGGCAGATTTATAGACAAAAGGGGATACAGAGAAAAAGATCTTCCATCACTGCTTCACTGCCTAAGTGGCCTCAACAGCTGGTGCTGAGCTAATCAGGAGCCAGGACCTTCTTCCAGGTCACCCCCATGAGTGCGGGGCCCAAGGCCTCAGGTCATCCTCTACTGCTTTCCCAGGCTACAAGCAGGGAGTGGGATGGAAGGGGACAGCTGGAACATGAACCAACATCCACTTGGGATCCCAATACATACAAGGCAAGGATTTAACCACTGAGGCATCGTCACCAGCCCCCAAGTTGCCTACTTAAATGAAGCAATAAATGAAGAACAAAATATTTGGAATAAATAAGTGAATTCCAATTGCAATGTTATTCATCATTCATTGAACAAAACTTCTTGCTTCTTCCCCAGAAAACCCATGAGTGAAACAAAAATGTATTACTTTGAAAATCGGTGGCATCTGACAGTTTTGGTGGTGTAGTTGTGTGTGCTCAACCAGATCCTCAGAAATCTTATCACCACTTGGGCATTTAGTGGGGAATAATTTCTACGTCCATATGGTAAGTTTTTTTTTTTTTGGTTTGTTTTTTGCTTTCTTTCAAGTAAGCATATGAATTAAAAGAGGAATCAATTTTATGTTATCATAAGAGAATGAATTAAATGTACGTAATGTCAATATAATTGCAAAAAAGGAGGTCTATCAATTAATGTGTGTACTAGGATTGCTGTACTCCAGTATTTGTACAATTGTCTGTTTCTTACTAAAATGGAGTTTTCTTCATGGAAAAAAAATGTCTAATTTACTTGATAAAGAGATCCTTGGTCTATGAGACTGAGAATAATGGTACACATTAGAAAATAACAAATGAGCTTAATTCACACTGAAGACGACCTGTCTGCACATTTTCATTTTTAAGAATTGCACCCTTTAGGCAGTAGGTGGATGTTTAAAAAATGAATGGTTCCAAGCCAGGCTTTCATCACCTCAAAATAGTTTGTGGAAGTGGAAAATGAAATATGGCCACTGCATATGGTAAATCCATATAATAAAACAGCACTATTCTTCTTTCCCATGTTCCATTCCACAAAGAAATGCCTTAAGCTCTGTCATCTTTCAAATGAGGTTTCTTTTAATGACCCTTACCTTTTAATTACTTGTTTCTAATTGAATCTATTTCTTGCAGCAGAAAGTTCTTTGTAAAATATTGCTGCACATGATAGATTACTGTTGATAAAAGAACGCTAGATAAAATACCACGTATTATTTTTCTTATTTTAGTTTTACACAAAGTAAAAAAAATTAGAGAAATAGATGTGGCCTATATGGACAAAATTTTGACTGATCTAGATTCCATGAAGCACAAAATGAGACAATTAAAAGGTCAGTATGCACTAAGCCAAATATTACGATGTTTCATTCTAAAGGTAACTTCAACTTGCTGAGAGGTGTTTTTTAAATACTTGATATATAAACAATGAGGACTTTGAAATACTGCACAACAGAAGTCACTTGAAGAAGGTCTAAGATTTAATAATTTGGGGGGTTACTGATTTTATATTTGTGAATTTTGTATTAAAAGGAGTACCTGTTAATGTGTATATAGTAAATATATTAGGAAGCTCTCTAGGCCAGATAATCACCCCATTTTTTTTTTTTTGGAAATAATCTCTGAGCTAACATTTAAAGGTTTTCAAACCACTCTGTGAACAAAGTTGTTAGAAAATAAGCTATTTTTGTTTGTTTTATTCAGTGTTTAGTATTAATCATCAGTATTTCAAAAGGACTCCCTGTTTCTATTTATATTTCAAAAATTGTTTGAGAGGCAAAGAGAGAGAGGGAGGGAAACGCATACACCCCCACAGAGAGGGAGAGACAGACAGAGGCAGACAGCATGCCATCTACTACTTCATTCCCCAAATTCTCACAGTGGCCAGGTCTGAACAGGGGCCCAAGAGAGCTGGACACTCAGGAACCACCATTGCAGATACAAATGATTCTTTGTGGAGGAACACTACACTATGGACTTTAGTCTGGGAAGAAATCAGTTTCAAACTCTGAAATTGCTACAGTAGAAGCTTTTTTTTTTTTAAGATTTATTTATTTTTATTGCAAAGTCAAGATATGACTCTGATTTGAAATGAATGTTATTCCGTTTTTATGAAAAGAGTGTTTGGGTATAACGAAACACATCTATTTCTACAACAAAGCACTACTACTCCTGCATTTAGACATTTTCCATGGAATGTCTCAGAGACATGCTCACAATTCCAGCTCTCATATCACCCCCATACCTGTATTTCCTTGGTTCCCCCTAGCAGTCAATTCTACCACCATCAATCCAGGGGTTGTCACATAAACCTGGGATTTCAACCTTGACATAGCTCTCTGTCTCATACTTTGCATAAGCAAATGATCAATAATAACTCTTGTTACTTTAAATTTGACAAGTTGTGATATAAAATGAATTTCAACCATTTTCAGCTCTGCAATCATTACACAAGTTCAGACCATCATCATCTATTCCTCTGATTTTTGGAACAGCTTTTCAATTGGACTCCCTATTCCCAACTTTGTTAATAGTTTCTCTTCTAGGAAGAATGGTGACATTCTAGAAGTGAGGTGATCATGTCCAAATGCAAGGTGTTGTGTACTCCAGGCATCAAAGCATTGAAGCCACCCTGTTATCCCTACAACTGTCCCTTTTACAATGATTCATCATGATCTGGCTCTCTCCTCACCTGCCACACCCATCAATCTGGTTTTTTTTTTTTTAGTCTCCCAGACATATCATGCAGTTTCTTAACTTGGAGCTTTTGGAACAATTCAATACCCTCTGTCTGTAAGTGTCCCCTGTCCTGTTCTTTTGGATTGGTCCTGATCATTCTGTATTTTTCAGCCTATTTGCTAAATTCTTCCCAGAAACCTACCTCAATATCTTGAGCATGTAGCAACTGAACTTCCTTTCTGAGAGCCTTCTCCACATTATAAATAATTACTTGTTCATTTGACAGAATCACAAAAATAGGAGCTGTATTTATTTAACATTAAATTTATTTATTGAATTATTTTATGATATAGTTGCATATGCTCTGGGGTTTCCCTTACCCTGTCCCCAAATCCCCTTCCCCAGACTGATTTCCCTTATAATATTACAATAGTATATTCCTTCATAAACAGTCATAAGTCTATCATTCTGCTATTTAAGTGTATTCTGACATTGTAAGTATGGAAAATGGCAGAGAGTCAAGCATCCTATTAACAAGTTATATTTAACAGTTTTATTGAGAGTGCATCTTTGATTTGGAAGTAGAGATGCATACCGCATTGCATCATCACATCTGGATATGATAGTCTCTATTACACAGTTACTTTACATCCCCTTAAAAGAAACACCATAAAATAAACAGCAAGAATAAAGTTTAAAAACTTTACAACACCATGAATTTAAATGCCATGCTACTGAATGGCCTGTGTATCACTGAAGAAATGAAAAAGAAAATCAAAAACCTTCTTGAAGCAAACAATGTTACTGTGTGATCTTGGAGTCAGTGAGGAAATTAATGAGAAAAAAAATGAATGGATGAAAGTAAAAGTGAAAATATCAAGCCCCTGAGATGGAGCAGAAACAGTATGGAAAGGGGTATTAATCCTGTATTTTGCAAGGAGGTTGCATTGTATCAGAGAGAACATGTGGTGTTTTTCCTTTGGGGATTGGCTTATTTCATTGGGCATAAAATGGTCTCTAGTTGGCACCATCTGGCTGCAAGTGGTAAAATTTATTCTTTTTAATAGCAGAGTAATATTCTATGGAGTAGATGTACTACAATTTCTTTATCCATTCCTTTTTTGAGAGGCATCTGGTTGTTTCAATGTCTTTGCTATTGTAGAATGTGCTGCTGTAAATATAGGATTCCAGATCACTTTCTAATATGCAAATTTCATTTACTTTGGATATATTCCCAGAAGTTCTCTCAGCTCTTTCCATACGGACTTCCATAGTGGCTATACTAGCTTATACCCCTGCTAACTGTGAAGGAAGTTACCTTTCTCCTCATATCCATGTCAGCAGGTGTTTCTAGTAGAGTTCTGAAAGTAGTCCAACCTAACCGGGGTTAGGTGGATCCTCAGTGTGGTTTTCATTTGTTTTTCCCTGAGAGCTAGGAGCCTGAGAACTTTTATATATGTCTATAAAACCTACACATTTAAAACTGTGTGTTATGTTAAAAATGTTATCAGAAAAACAGTGGGACAGTGGATCAAAACACAGTACCCAGAAATAGACTCAGGTGCAAATGGAAATTTATTGTGTGATAAGATGATATCTCATGTCAACTGGGATAAACAAGAGCAACTCCTAGCGTAATAGCCATTTGTATATGTAGTACGTATTCCTACACTATTTGTAAAATACTGTTAAATGGATTTTATATTTCATTTTTAAATATGACATACAAAGACTATGTTAGAGCACTCACTTAATGTAGAGTTAAACGGTTATGGTAAGTGAATCCGCCAAATGAGCGAACCTACCTTCCAGAGGCAGATGATGCTGAGGCAGGCCAGGGCTCCCAGTGTGGAAGTGTACGGGGAAAAGCGTTCCAGGTGAGACTGTTAGCAAGAAAGAAGAGAAAGCACTCAGCTCTCTACCTTCTAAACAAAATATCATGCACCAAAATATCCTCTTTTTTTTTTTTTCCCATTTCCAACCAGAGAAGTCATCTGCCATTACCAATGGGACTCCATTCACTTGAAATGAAACATTAAGAGTAGAAGAGAGGAATGCCTCGTTAGGAGTTAGCTATTATCACTATTCCTGATCTCATTTTAAATAAGATTGAATGGGTGAAAACTGGATTATGAAAATTAAAAAAAAATATTTAGTACAGTTTGTTTAGCATCAATTTATGGTTTCTTGGCCTACATAGTAATGTTTTATTTGGTTTGAAAGATTTATTTATTTTTGTTAGAAAGCCAGATATACAGAGAGGAGAGGCAGAGGAAGATCTTCCGTCAGATGATTCACTCCCTAATTGAGCGCAACGGTTGGTGCTGTGCTGATCCGAAGCCGGGATCCAGGAATTTCTTTCAAGTCTCCCACATGGGTGCAGGGTCCCAAGGCTTTGGGCCATCCTCAAGTGCTTTCCCAGGCCACAAGTTGGATGGGAAGTGGAGCTGCCCGGATTAGAACCGGCACACGTATGGGATCCCGGCTCGTTCAAGGCGAGGACTTTAGCCGCTAGGCCACTGCACCAGGCCCGGTATTATTTTATTATAAAAGACTTTTTTGAAACTAGAACATTTTATGATGACTTGATATCTCTTTATGAAAATTATTATTAAATGCATCCATTTTCATTACATGTTCAGAAGAAAGCTGACAAATCAAATTAAGCATGTTTTTGTTTCATGTTTACTATTTCCGGTCTATCCTTTCAATAGTATAAGTTCTAAATTTTTTCTGGCTGAACTCCTTTTTGTTGAATGAAGTTTTATGGTTCAGAATGTTTTAAAAGTAAAATGTTTGCTGAACTTTTAATGTGTGTCATTCATCAGTGTTATCTGAAATCTATGCATAGAGTTGCACATAGAGCACATTTCCTATAAACATGTGTTAGATATCTGTAGTCTTCTCCAAGGCACGTTACCTAATGGCGCTGTCACTATTACTCATTCACTGATTGATTTGATTATGTTTTCTCCACATTTATGTCACATATGCATGTTTATTAGGTACAAAAGAACTTTGGGTTCTTTGCAAAGTTGTTTCTATGGCTTATTTTTGTTGTTGCTTCTGCATCTGTTATTTCTTTAAACTTGAATTACAAGAGCTTTATTCTATGCAAGTACTGAATTATTCTCAGAGTTCCATACATATCTATGGTCTGAAACTCCGCACCATAAGAATATCTGGGCAATAAAACTGAGAGTACAACTTAATTTTAGTAGTTCTAGTATTTAATCAGCGTGGGTGATACTTTCTCAAAGAAGTCTTCTCTGCCATCTAGGCTAGGTCAGCAACTCCTGCTGCGTGTTCTTCTAAACGCTGCTTCCTTGATGCACCGCCATTGCAGCCAACCAGCAGTGTAATCCTTTCCTGAAAGTGTGCCTTTCTCATCGAACCTGAAGCACTGACTCTGAAACATGTTTGTGGTCATTCAAGATAAGCCTGATCTGGAATTGATGCCCAATATAGGTTTGTGAAAGAAATAAACAAAAAGAGCATTAAACAAATTTTATGAAGCTCTACAATCAGTATGAAAGTCTGAGTATGCCTTTAACACAGAAAAAGAAATGATTTCATATGCGTGAATTTAAATCTTTTATAATGATTTTAAGTCACCTAGTTGAAAGAATGCATACATTTGAATCACTGCACTTATTAAATTATGCATGTAATCCTTCAGAATACAGTATTCCAATAAATATTTTCTCTCACCACAGCTTTTTAACAGCATAAAGGGCAAAGAAGAGGTGTCAGAAATTAATCGTGCTTGCAGGGTAGTATTAGTCAGAAAAAAAGAGCTTCTGTCTCTTGGGTTAATATTATTTTAGAAATACTTAATCCCCAGGCTGCAAAGCTAATTGTGGGGGAAAGGCTTATTATTAGTGAAGAGAACAAAACATATGTTCCAAGACTGGAAGAGATGATAGGGACTGTATAAGGTCATGAATTCTATTTGACTAAATTACTACTGAACCGTATCATGGCTATGAGGCTGGGGCCAGGGTGGAAGTCAGCATGCTATCTTTCTTTTCCATCTGCAGAGTGAGAAAGTATCTTCTGTCTATTTAAAGCCTGAAACTCTCATATGAAGGGTATTGTTGCATATTATTACCTTAGGCATCTTTGCTTTTATGATATATTTAGTATTTGGGCTTATGCTCCTGGGTGCAATAATTTATGCATAGAAAGCCAAGCCAATTTATTTGAAATCTGAAAGCCTATCAACAGAAACAACATTTGCAGAGACTTCTTTCCCCAGGGCACCATGTAGCAGCATGTCAGGCAGCCACCATAACTCCTGCCCAAAACCCCGTGTAGCCAGTTGGTGGTAGAAGGAGGCTGGACTGAACAGGCTCCAGATGAAATTAAACTCATGGAACTTACAAAACACGCAGAGGGACATTCTTTAGAATTGCGTACAGCAAAGGCTCTGTTTTTACATAAGCATTTAAAAGTTATAATATTGAATTTTAAAATTATGTTACTGATATATTCTTAACATCTGGCCAGTTATGACCAGATGAACGTATGCCAAGCATTGAGTTGGCATTTGAAGCATAGCTATATAAGACAGTCAACTCATAAGAAAGTGTGTTTTGTATGAATGGAGACCAGAAAGTATGACCTTAGCAAAGGAGAAAAAAGGGCCCAGTGGATATGTGCAAAGATAGTTATAATAAATGTAGTCCAGTTACACCTAATGTCTTTATTGCTCATATCTCCTAAGGGTATGTCTCAATGTGCAGAAAGAGCAAGAAGCAAAATACTAATTGTAATAGAGACATTCAAAAGTGAGAATTTCAAAAAAGTGATTTCAGTCCAATTGGTTAATCAGTCATGATTGCCTGACATAAAAAAAGTTGAAAAAAGAAAGGTCAGTTCTTAAGAGAGTACAACAGAGACCAGAGAAAATTTTTAGCTTTGTGGGGTTTCTCATCAAAATGATAGGTTCTTATTTAATAGGGATTCTCAAATTTGTGAAATGTGCTCAGTCTTCATCTTAGGCATTTGCCCAAGTCAAGGTTATTAGAAAAAAAGAAATTGACATCCCTAGAAATATGACTTCTTGCCAAGCTGAGAGGGATAAATCACAACCAGGGAATGAATGCAAAGCACTGAACTAAGACATGTTTGAAGCAGGAAGAAAAGCTGCCCAGCAGGGATCTGGCAAAATAAAATGATAGCTGTTGTGTTCCAAAGCACAGTAAGTTTGGGCTCAAACACCCCCTATGTATGCTCCCCAAAGCATTCCTTGGTTAAAGGAGGTGATATTGTGATTCTAATCAAAACTTACTTGTTAGATGCGGAGAAATTGCTCAGTAGGAGAAACACCAGGCAAGAGTCCAGAAATGCTTTTTTTTTTCTCCATTTCTCCAAATTATAAATGAATGTCCAGTGCTTTGCCAAATTGAGAACATTCTTATCATTTCTGCTGTTATTACTTTAATGGTTGTTATTGCCTTAGTGTATCATTGAAGCAAGGGAAGCTTACTAGAGTCAGGAGAGAAGAGGCTAATACACTCAGTGGTTACCTCGTAAGAATGTGTTCAATATAATTTGCAATTACAAGAGATGTCTGACTTTCCTAACATTATTTACACAGACCCTACAGATAGTTTCCTGAACATGGCATTCTCTGGGATTTCTTGACAGGTGTACCTTTCCAAAGTCCAAGAATAGCGGTCCAAAAGAAGCTTTCCTAAACGTTTGGTCTTAAAGCAGAGCAGTCACATAAGGCGCCCCAGACAAATGGGTTTGGATCTATAGAAATGGATGCAGACTTGAAGATGGCATTTACACTTGGGAAAAAGCCATCTCAGAGGCAAATCTAGTGTGAAAGGAGCATCTCAGTGTTACGGAGAATTGACGTGAAATACAAAATCAAACTTGGTTTTTGTCTCACATGAAAGAATAATTTTCATGCAGACCATTTTAGTGAATGAAGCAAGATTTATTAAAGATAGAAATTTGGTATAGCAATGGGAGGGGGTTCTAAGAAAGTAAACACAAGAGAAAAGAGGGGACGCAGTATCTTTGAAGCATAATTTTGAGAGAAAAAAAATCCATAATAGGAGATAACAGTTGCAGCCCTGAATTTTACTCCTAAGTTGCTCAAAACAAAAAGCCATCCGAAAGCTGTGATTGGTAACTTCTCATTGTCATGATAGGATTAAATCTCAGACACTCTCTTTGCTCTCTCATGATAAAACTGGAGACTCAAAGAAATAGAGGCTGACACTTTGATCTGGTCAAAGACAGTTCTGGGGAGACAGATACTTTGCATTCGTTCAAAGAGACTCCCTGGCTTCCTTGCTATTTTGTGATAAAATGGGAAATCCAAGCAAATGAGATTCACATTCCTATAGGGGTTCCCTCTAGCTGCCCAGTTACTATTCTTATGACATAAACCCAGAAGTCAGGAGGGATTTGGTATTTTGCTTCCAGACAGCAGAGTAAGGGAGAAACAAAACTTAAACATTTTTCAAAAGGACCCACTTTACTCATTTCACCAGAGACCTTGAACTTAACTATCTTAACAACTCGTCTAACTTCCTATCATAGTTCTGGGTTCACATCTTAGCTTGAACATTTCTGTATTTCTAAATTAGGAAGCTTGCTTCATTTTCTCATATGTGAAATAGGAATGTTACTTTCCTCCTGAAGCCGATGGATAATTAAAGGGGATGATGGAGTGAAAATGTGAAGCCTGATACTGTCAAATCTATGAATCTGAATACTACATTTGGCCAGCAGAGAGCAAAGTTAGTCAAATCAACCACAGCCAAATATTAAAACCTAAGGTTTAAGATAATTCTCATTACTTTTTAAAATCTAGTTCACAAAGATTGATCCTTCCCCTTGTTGTGAGCGATTCCCTAAAAATGTTCTATGTAAGGGAAGCAACAGCTGTCATGAGAGAAAAAACAGCCTACCAGAGTTTTAGATGTGGAGGAATTTCCACTTTCCAGTTTTATAACAGTGAGGAAAAGGAAAGCATTAGTCTTTTATTGTTTGTAATTTTACACATATAATACTAAAATTTGACATCTTATTTTAATCTTTTTAAAATACGTATTTATTTAAGTGAAAGTCAGAAAGAGAGAGGGAGAGACACAGAGCGAGAGGATCACTCCCCAAATGACCTCAGTGGTCATTTGAGCCAGGAGCCAGGAGTCAGGAGCTGAACTGAATCTCCCATGTGGATGGCAGGAAACCATGCACCTGGTTCATCTTCTCTTACTTTCTCAAGCCATTAGCAGGGACTGGAAAGAAGTGTAGCAACTAGGGCACTAACTGATGCCCATATGGGATGCCTGTGTCACAGGTAGTGCCCTACTCCATAACACTAGTCCTTTGTTTCAATCTTTACACGAAAACTTTGGGCACATAATAAGGGAATTTTGGTAATACTTCAAAAAACTATTTATTACCATATATTTGAAAGGCAAAGAGACAGAGACAAAGGTAAATGGACAGGCAGACATCTTCCACCCATTAATTCATTCCTCAAATGCCCACAATAGTCAAGACTAGGCCAACGCCAAGCCAGAAACTCAGACTGAATCTCCCACATGAGTGGGCAGGAAACCAAGTACTTGAGCCTGCCTGCTGCCTCCCAGGGTGTGCATTAGCAGGAAGCTCAGATTGGAAGCTGAGCCCGAACTTGAGCTCATGTACTCATAAATCGGATGCAGTCTTTTTAAAAGTCGCATTGATTGCAATAGTATTTAAAATAGCAGAGTTTTTTTTTTTTAATTTGTAAAGTGTTTTTGTGAACTTTTCTGGGACAAGACAAAGTCAAATAGAGATGAGATGGTGGTAGGGGTAATAAAAAGGCAAGATGGTGGAACTGACCAGGCTGGTTAACGATGATAAGAAGAACATAAGGAATAGCAGGGTATTTCAGGAATTGTGCCCCTGAAGATGGATCCAGTTTCAAGTGCAAGAGAGATCTTTTATCTTTTATAGGGGCTTTCAGAAAGACCCCTGAAAACAATTGCATCTCATAAGTTGGCAGCCAATTTGCTATCCTTCTAAAATAAGAGATGAAAATGTGGGAAATTGTAATTTTAAAACTACAAATACAATAAAGGAACTTTGTTTATGGAAAAAAAGCAAAAGTAATTTTTTAAGACTGTGCAAGCTTTTACAGAACAGTACTTTCTAGAAAAATTTTGCTTTTTTCTAAGTCATCATTCATATTGTAGATGTCAAGTCTTATAATCTATTCAACCACTACAACTAAAGGCAATAAGTTAGTGAGAGAAATCAAGTTATTGATAAATAAAAAATTGTACACCAGGTAAAATGGGCATAAGATAGCCAATCAGATTGAGGAAAGCTAAAACTTGCAAGAACTTTTCTAAAGATTTCATGCATCTGTATCTTGGGGTGACTTTTTAAATGACTCTCAGTGTGGCATATAAGGGCACTCCTTAACTATTAGTTCATCATAAGCATTCCATTTTTAATCAACTTCATATATGAAAGGTTGTGCATAGGATGTTATGAAGTATTAGTCTAACTTATGTCTGTGAAAAAAGTTTAGTAAACAATGTGCCATATAATTGACAAGTTAATATCAACTGTGGTGGTAGCAGTAGGAGAAATAAATTAACATATGCTCTATGCTCTCATCAGATTAACATTTCAATCGGCAAATTTTTGAAAACATATCCATGTTTTACTTGGATCTATAAGGAGAAGGGCACCCTTATGTTGATGAAAGTAAAATTCTTGGAAGGATAGTTTACATAAATAATGAACTTTTACTACTTTATCCTTAGACATTTTTATGAACTTAGGAAAATACTTTTTGCTACAATAGTTGTCAAAAGGTTATTTATTTGTACCAGATACAAGTTAAAATAATTATAGAAACTCATCAGTTGGGATTTGGTTAAATGAATTATTGCATATCTTATGGCATAATGCACTTCTGTAAACTAAACTCTCGGCAGCTGGCATTTGGCGCAATGGCTAAGCTGCTGCATGGGACATTCACATCTCATACCAGACTGTCTGGGCTTCAGTCACGTTTGCTCCACTTCCAATTCAATGTCCTAATCTTACACAACCCTGGGAATCAGTGGATGATGGCTCAAAGGCTCAGATTTCTGCCACCCATGTGAGAGACTGAATAGCAGGATCCAGGCTTTTACCTGGCCCAGTCCCCATCTGGCGGGCATTTGTGGAGTGATATAGCATATAGAAGATATTTACATCTCTTTCTATGCCTTTCAAATAAAATGAATAAAAATTAGAAATCAACCTTTAGGAAAAAATCACAATTAACATGCTCAAGATGGACTAAATGAAAGAAGCATACTATAAAAACACATGGAGCTAGATTGCATAAACATGAATATGTGTCTGCATTGAAAAAAAGGCTGGAAGGATCTTGTTAAGTATTTTGAGGGAGGTCATCTTGTGAAGGATTTCTATTCTTTGCATGTTTTTCTATATGATCCATGTTTTTATTTTTTATGAAAAATGTATATGATAAAAAAACTAATGTTCTTCTTAGAGAATTATTAACAGAATTAGTTGAGGATCAGTTTTAATAGCACAGATAGGACTTTTAATGTGAACTAAGAAGGTGACAGACTGTGTCTCTCAAAGGTAAGGGACAAAGCATCTAACATGTATGAGACACCACAAAAAACGCATAAAGCACATGAAATAGGTAATTCTTGACCTGAGATATAGAGAGATGCATGAATTTAAAATACATGGTAGTCCCCACATACGGTGAGCCTTAGTTGAATCCAACAGTTGTAATAGAATGCTACAGTTGGTGAGACTCAAATGACAACAGAACCTTATTTTTTCACAGTTTTGGATGCCGGATGTCCAGATCAGGGTGCCAGCTTTGGTTTTGGGTAGTTCTTCCAACCTGCTTCTGGCGATCTTTGTTGCCCTTACACCACCTTGTCTTTTATGTGCAAGGCGCTCCCATGTCTGTTCCTTATCTCAAGAGGAAAGCAGGACTTCTGTGTTAGGACCCCATGCTTATGACCTTATTTAACCTTAATCTACACCTGAAAGCCTTCCCCCATGGTCAAGGGGGGATAGGACTTCAATAAGAGTTTGAGGAGTCACAATTCAGTCCATAGCACTATCCCAGAGTCTTTGAATCACCAATTGCTTTTGAATAAAGACATAGGATGATGAAAGCAGTGGTTTGGGAAGATTAATGTAGGCTTTGTGCGCAGAAATATACTTCAGGTCCAGGAAATTTTCTGCACATTCTGCATATTGCTATATATTTTTTTCTAAAAGGAAACGTTATTTTTGATCTCTTCCTTTTCTAAGCTGAACATTTTTTTATCTGCAGTGTCCTGCATGAGATTCTTTGTGATCAGATACAAATGTATTCCTTCAGGCTCTTGGGCTGTCAAGAACTTCTCTGAAAAAAGGACTGTGTAGAACAAATCCGGCAGGAACGAGTGTAACTTTCACTAGGGCAGTCTGCTTATGGACACCAATTCCAATGGAGCTCAGAGTCTCAGGGGTGGGTATATTTTCTGGAAGAATGTGAAACAACATATTTTCAAACGCTTCACTCTACCTCCTATAATGAAACCCCCAGATGGTATTTGAACGCCATCCAATGCAGGCTTTTTTTCAAGTGTTTTTGCCTCTGTGGCTACTCTGGATGATTTAACCACACTTTTTCCCACCTACTCTTTGAACATTGCTAGAGCAACTCTCATGTCCAAGTGGTGTCAGCTCATCAGTCATCCATGCACCAGGGCTGCCATCCT